AAGGTTTATTTGCAAATCACCGTAGGCGCAAATCCGTCAACTTGGCAGATCCTTACCACTACAGACTTCTCTCATGTGCCACAGAATAAACAATCTAACCCGTCTGTCCATTGATCCGTACGGTATCCAAAAGGCAGAGGATCTAACCCCAACTTCCTTACTGTCCATGCAGAAGCTTGCGCCCAATGTATACACTGTTCTGATCCCTCACGGGCTCATTTGCTAGTCAGTCTAGCGTGTTCCCTAAATTCAGCTTTGCATTGCTTTCCGCTGTGCCAAGTGTTGCTCTCGGATCTCCTTAGCATATTGTTCAGGGCGTCAGCCTGAATTACTAGGTTCTGAGTTCCACCCCAGCTCAGGCTACCTCCACCTGAGGAACCCAAACCAGGACGAACTCGCTGTCGTGGTGTTCCAGTGTTGGGAAAAGCAACACCCAAATATGTATTTATTTATTTACTGACCACCCAGATATCCGTGCTTCAGCTTTTCTTTGGTGCCGGCTATGGTTGCGGAACAAAGACACATCTCTTATGGCTGTGAATAACTGTCCATCAAACTTTGTGCGAAATGGACTCCAAGCTGAACCACCTTCTTCAGGTTGCTTTGAGCAAATCATACAATCAAACTCTAATCGCAGACGACTTAAAATGTTCACGACCTGGAAATAGATGCAACCGATAGCACGCAATTCAAAGCCTATTTACAAGAGGTAATTTCCAGCTAACCTCTGTTCAACTACGTGACCACTCTTACCAGATTTCGAATCGCTAACAAGCCGTCGGTAGTTAATCGTGTGCTCACCAAGCACATTACTTGGTCACAGTAACCACGGCCCTCTACTGTTTAACGACGCAATGCCGAATATTCTAAGGAAATGGATGATAAAGGGTATACAGTCAAGCACTACAATCTGTGATCCGCGCTTGTTATGGAGGTAAGTTGGACATTCCTAAATGCTTGCCCCATAGATCGCCTGAGACACTTACACAAAGACATTTAGCACATTGGTAGCACGCGCGTCTGAGCAAAAATCTTTCCATCGTCAAAGGAGAAAGAAGCCATTTCTGAGGAGTAGAACTTGTAAATGCGTGTCCTTGAGTAACTTAACATGAAGAGTTCACAAGAACTCCCCGAATTCCGAAACCTTGACTGTCTATGTGGCACGGAGCAAATTCTGTGTGCGTTTGATCCGCGAGGACAAAATGACACATCAGCAGGAGTTAATGAAGGGATTCTGCAAGAACCAAAAACTGATACAGGCATGTTAATGACTTTCGTAAAGTGCGACGCGGAATTCCAGCATTGCTCACGACTGACAGTGCATGCGATCAGCAACGGAAGCAGCCAATCTCTTACGGTTCCATTACTGACAAACCTTCCAGAAACAGGTCCAACGGTTAGCCCTGTTTCTAGCCTCCTACCCTCAGGCTTATCCAATAGTACTTTTACTGCAGAGATTGTGTCAAAGAAACTGTTGTCCCTGCGTATCCACAGCTCTCCTAGTGTTGATAACGTTCGAACGAGGGCTTTACAGGCAGCAGCCAGTGATCTGGCGGAACCTCTAGTTATATTCTATCAGCGCTGCATGGAAGAGAACTATATTCCAACAATGGGGAAGCGTGAGGTATCAGCCCTATTCATAAAGGAGGTAGTCGCACTGACCTAACCAATCACCGTCCGATAACGCTACTCCCTGTGCTTTCCAAGGTTATGGAGTCCATCATCGCTGATGCACTCATACAGTATCTGGAAAAGCACAACATGATAGCACCAGAGCAATACGCTTTTCGACAAAAAGCGCTTATGCACTAGGAACCTGCTAATTGCGCGCAAATCTGGACTGAAGCAGTTGCTGTAGCATTGATGACTCACTGCTGTGTTAGATAGACAATTTGCTGCACGAACTTCGCTTGGAAGTGAGAGTACGAGAATCCCAGTCCGACTTTATTGAGGGGGAGTGGGGCGTACGACAAGTTTCCGTGCTCGGGCCCCGGCTATTTTTGATTTTCGTACACGATCTGACGTGGGAAATTAGTGACGCTTTCCTATCCTTTGCGGAGGATGTCAAGTTTCAATGAGCGATCAGAGAACGGTACGACGACGAAAAGCTCCAGCTTGACCTCAACACCATTACAAACTGGTCAATTCTGAATACACTTCCGTTAAATTTGGAAATATGTCACACTATTTAATTGCACCATAGGCATGACTACATGTATAGGCTTGGGTCATATGTATTGCAAACCACTACCCAGGAACGCGAACTTAGTGTGCTCATTCAAAGTGACCTTAACTGTTCAAAGCAGTCAAAGGTAGCTGCAAAGATAACCAATCAGCAAGTCGGCTTGCTCCTGCGAGCATTCGAAAGATTCGACCAATCCATCTTCCTCATGGTGCACAATTATTAGATGCGCCGTCACCTGAATATCCCATCCAAGCTTGGCAACCCTGGTTGCGGCGCGACTTAGAAGTACTAGAGAAAATCCAAAGCATGGCCACAAATAACTTCAAAGGTACTCGAATTGTGTCCAACCATCAAAAGCTGAAGTCACTGAAAATTTGCAGTAGCCGCTACCGAATGCTGCGCGGCGATCTCATTTTAGTCTACCAAATATTGTATGGAACCTAATTACTTGCTGAAACTCAGCCATAACACCAGTCTCAGAGGGAGCCCTCTGAAACTGAGTGAACAGTATAGCAGTCTGTAATGCCGGCGGAATCATTTTTCTCTGCTGGTTTTCCAACCCTGGAACTCTCTCTCAAACTTAGTTGTTTCCTCCCTGACCTTGGATATTTTCAAACAACGATTAGACCTTGTACTTGACCCCCATCACTTCGTTGCCTAAACTGTGCTACTTTGGAATATATAACTTGTCCCTTCAAACTGGATTAACATGTCACATAAACCTGAGGAAGCGGTACAGAAGTGAGTATTTTCGTTTTAAATTTTCGCATGGTGTACATCAACTATAACTATCCTCATGTTGTCTCGTCGTTTCCATTCACTTCCCACTTGCATTACTAATATTCAGTGGCGTATCTGCTAGATGAACGCTCAAACATACAACTCACCTAGCTTTTGCTAATTATAGTTTTACCCTCACCATCCTGCGGGACTTGTCAAGCAAGTTCTTTTTACTCGGCACAAATCATTGTTCATCGTTCGCTATACAGCGCCTAGGATGTTACATTTGAGGTTTCCATGGCTCAGGTCATAAAGCTGTTTTCGTTTTATGGAATTTGACGTTGATTTGGGAACACCGGTGCAGAATACTGGTGATGTATCATAGGATCCTTTATAGATCACTTGTGCAGCCTGAATTGAAGTTGACTGCCCCGACGATCAGCAAACCGTCGGCGGTGGTTTTGCACGTACTGATTCGCTTTCTTTGTTTAGTTTAGACCCAGCGGGAGTGACTGGCGGCTTAAGTTTGGTAGCGATCAGGTTACAGTCAACACTCGTATAAACATCCTTATGTGAATTCAGAAGAGTTTGTTTGCTGGATGAAGCCCTAGTCGTAATCGTGCCAATGGGATTGGTGGTGCTTGGTTTAGATCTTTTTGAGTCATTGGTGGTATTGACAAGCCAATTGACGTTCAGCTTTATAGATGACCCTTTTTACGGGCCGCCCAACCAGCTTTGTCGGACTTGCTCATCATCACGCTTTCTCCCACTGAGGAGGTTTTGGCATTCGCCGTTAGGTTAACCGTTGCTCCCAGCCTGTCCTATATCTGAGATAGTTCAACGACTATCTTGTCCAGTGGAGTGGTCAAACCTACTGCATAAAACAAAGTCCGGTCTTCCATTTCACAGCTTCAACTTGCTTGAGGAGTGACTATCACACATAGGACGAAAACGCCCGAGTCCATTGGGACATTGTATTCCTGTTAGCACAATTTGTTTCACGTAACCAACTTACCCACCAACTTTATTTTGGCGGCAGTGGACGCAGCCTTTACCGGTCGATCGTTGCAAATCATTCCATCAAATGTCTGTCCGTTGGTGCATCACGGGTGGATAGCAAGCTCTTGACTTCACCTTAACCCTAGTGTTTGTGGCTGTCAAATTGTCTACCTGCACGCTGAACGGGCCGACTGAGATGAGTGCGTTAGTCGCATAATGTGGTGCGGGGCAGGTTAAGCGAATGTTCCAGTAACTTTAATGCTCGTCAGAGGTGTAAACATATTTATTCAACAAGAAAGGACGCAATATGTTCGATGGCCTTTTATTATCAAATCGATCGCTTTGGCCAACGAATCTTAATGCAAGTCCCAGTATAGACTTTCATTTGAGGCTCCAAATGTTTTTGCACGACTTTGGAGTGGTAAAATTGTGCCTGTGTACTTATTCAAGAAGGATGCAAAAAGTGTATTGTGAAGACAAGAAGTGTTCCGCACTAGTTAGATCAAAAGTAGGACTGCACCGAAGTCGCTTGTAAAGCTGGCGCAAACGAGTGCAGCCAAAAGTGTGCGCGATGAGAATTGGGAGAGCGACTCAGGGGAAATAAGACGATGCACCACCCAGTTTTACTGGTTAAAGTACCTCTGGGTGTCACACTTCCTGCTCTGATCTGCAACATTTGGAGTGCAGATATGTTATATTACCACGATACCGGTCTCCATTGCTTAGCCTCTTTCAACAGATAGTCACGAGCACAAAACTAGCTTATATCAGTACATGCCTAAACACGCCGAAAAGATATAGGACAGTGACATTAAAATCCCTCGCCTTCGAGTACGGCGTCCGTAACCTTCTTACATTCGTCACGCTTCCCTCCACATTGCGATGCTAGGGCGAAACAATCCTCATTGCCTCACATTTATCGTATGCACAGCTATGCATGGACGAACTGTAGTCGGTACACTATGTACCCGAATTTTAATGGTTAATTGATGTCCAGGCTGCATCAGCTTTAGTACAAGCACATAATGTCAGATAATAGCTAATAAATGAGCCTGTATAACAAACAGAATCGAGATCGGTATGTTTTCTGACTCACAGTGGCACCCGCTGCCCAAGCCGCCATCACTTTACGGCAATGACGTAAGCCCATCGGTTTGGACTCCGAGTTGCATGGACCGTTCAGAAGTCTGACTGGTTTCGATCCGATGCATGCGAACACCTCCATGTGATGTATCATCCCGTTGCTGGTTGGTGTGATCAATGGTTCGTACTGTTCCATCAAAAAGGAAAACCTTGGTTTAATAGGAAGCTTCCTGTTAGATGCACACACAATAAGAAGGATACCCAAATAATATAGCTGATGGTATTTCGCAAAGATAGTAACAACTAGGTAAACGGGAAGAGGTGGATATTGTGAAGTAAAATGATCTCATGTGAGCTATTAACCAATGCCGTCGAGAGGTGTAGCTACCTATCAAACATAATAAAATGATGGTTCGGTTTCTTTATTTCTTTCCCCTCATCCAAGTTCAGTTCGGCTGGACGAGCGCCGTTCCACTTCGACTAAACTCGCCTGAAATTTTTCCAAGGAGTGTGACAGCCATCATATCGTAGCGAGACGTCAAAGATTGAGGGGGATGGCCACCGTGCCTGTAAGGACCGTTGGCACAACAGCTACGCGCTCACCGGAAGTGAACGTGATCAAACTATTAGGTCACCAGCCTGTGTGCGGTGCAACCAGCGTACTCATGTGACCAGACGAAAGATAACGTGGCAAGAACGACTGCACCGGATAGATAGCAGTCAGCGGAACTGCTGGTGAGATATCTGTTAGTGTATCATTTAAATAGCGTGTCATCTTTCTGCCAAGTATTTCTGCGCTTTCGGAGTAACGCCAAAAGTACAGTTGTTCCGACATGAACGTTAGTATGGAACGGCTTTTCTTTCTTTCTCATCCTTTAATACCCCAAACATCAGATAAGTGCAATCGAGCTGACCTCCCTTTGCACCATTTTATCATTTAACTAAAGTTTATGTACGAGACGTTATCAAATGTGTTTTAATCCAAGTCATCATAAATTCTCCTGCAATAGATCAATTTTAAACGACTTTTCTCGTCTGATTGACGACACCTAATCCAAATCGTTGATACATTCACTGAAGTTGCCATTCTGTGACCCTTCACAACGATCCACAACTGTCCACAATATGGATAAGCGAATCAGACCCAAATGAAATTATTCATGAATACCCGCATGGATTACAAAATGCATGCATGTAGGAACCCGAGCTTTGTACACAAATTCGTTAAAACGGTATAGAAAGTAAGAGCTGCGGAGAAGCACATGTGTTCGTTTCCATAGACTATGTTTTTTGGTTTAATCAGTTTTCTTCCGCCTGGATATAAGAATTTAACCACACTACGAATCGCCTGAAATAGCAGAGAGAACTTGACAAATGCAAAATATAAGCTGCTCCCCTCCGCAAATCAAAACCTTTACCAGTCTCTCTATTAATACTTAGTTCGCCTCCGTCTTACGGTGTTACTTGCATGATTTCACCGTGAAGCACATGTTCGGAGGTAAGTTGGAGTGTACAGTGCCGTGTCATGAACACTAACAGTTGTACTTCGGTCTTTAGTGTGGACGGATTATGCTTATCTTACAAGGTTGTAATCGAGGAAAACTGGGGCCTTTAATGATGATGAGTGGAAGGAATAAAGTGCATTAGAATCATCCGGATATCTTACGCTGATAACACCCAAGAGGTGTTTTGTTTTTCATACAACGTAAAATATGGGTGTTTCGGAGTCACATCTGGGGTTGTATACATCCACAAGTAGAAACGGCAGATCAGAAAGCACTTAGAGCCACAAACCGCAGCACCGCAGAAAAACTGACGGCTAGCATGCTACCGCACGTAGTACTACTTGGGTAGTCCAGAACACAGCGGTATCTGACTTTCTACTTGCCACGATATCAGCTAATATTGGTATAGAGAAGACAAACAACCCCCAGTTGAGCGAACTTTTTCACAGACACGTACGAAATGGTAAAAGTATTGCCGGATCCAACTCACTACGTTTGAAAATTTACCATCTTTATTGGAAATGCAAACCGATATTGAAGGAGAGGTTTCGAGATACCTTTGTTAGCATCATAACAGACGAACCAGCTGATAATCGTGCGAAGATGAAACTGCAAATCCTGTTATGCTCACTATTAAATTTCAGCAACGCAATTTTGCGAGACTAACTCATCAACAGGGTAAAAATTGAAGAGAGTCAATTCTGTCACTGATGTAAAAGTCATTTTGCACTGTTTGACAGGGACGGATATTGACTTCAGTGGTGTCCGATGGCATAAGATATACGACAGCATATTACCGCGAATTCATGTGGCCTCTTTGTGAGGATGCATTTTGCATTAGAGTGGCTGCCCAATGAGTTTGGAGACCCATCTGGTGTTTGTGAACGTGTAGACCATTTAACCAACGGAACAACACGGAAAGTTTGAAGTGGCAACTCAGCCGCATTTCAACACCATCCGTAACTTGAAACTGCGGAATCGCAGTCTCCGTTAATCCATAAGATTTACGACGATCTCTGATCTATCCTTACCACAGAAAAATGCAGCTGCGGAAATTTGGCTGCAGCATCTGTAGGCCGAGGGACTGACCCATGATGCAACGCTGCTTCTCCCAAGCTGCCAGAAAGTGCAGCAGTTGCTAACATCAGTGTCATGCTGGCAGTTTCCATGTTATTAGAATGCTTGACTTCTGCCAGCTAGTCAGCTTTCCCAGTAATCTATCCAGTTTTGCCAACGCCCCCGGCATGGTTGACTCCCCAACTCTGGCAGCCGAATGGCTAATCCATCGAATAGTTGGAAGAACTGAATGGCGATCTTCAGGAGCAGGATCTAGGAAAGAACTCCACCACTGGCAGAGATTGCCAGTCTTTGACTACACATTCTTATGCACCCGGTAGAAGCTGAGTGGAAAGTAAATACTTACAATGTGTTGTGTCTCAGAAGCGTCACAACCTTTCAGACGATAGCAGGAAACATCTTGCTGGGCTTCAAGTTAGTTCCTCTGTTTTGATTCATAATTGGCATGTATATAATGGATAAACTTGTCTGGTCATATCTTTGGTTTAATCTTAGCTGGGAAAGCATAAAATTTTATGTTAACAGGACTGGAAAAAATGTTTTACCACCGCAGAAAACCATTGTCTTCGATCATCTGCACCCAAAGTACACTTTAGCTGAAGTTAATAAACACCCTTTTAGCTAAAATGCCGCAATACAAAAGAAATACAGGAAAAAGCAAGACAGTAAAGGTTACCTAGTTCGTAAATTAAAAAAGAAGAATATAATACTAACAATTAAGTTATCCATGGAGGGTGAGATCGTTATTGAAGTGAAAAGCTAAGTCGGAAGAAGAGGAACAAAGAAACTCACAACGTCAAAGCCACTGAGGTTGGATCTTCGCCATGTGAATTAGTGTGTCCAAACAAACGTACTCATCCTCCTTACGCTCCCAATCTGGCTGTAGGAAGACACCAACCGACGCCCAGTTCTAAGTGAGGGACTTCCTTTCTCATTAGCAATTCCTAGCTTGGTCTTCCATCCACTTTTTCCATCCACAACCCGGTCGCGCAAGCAAAGTACGTCACTGGAGTCCGTGCGCTGCCACGCGCAAATATGGCCCAAACATCAGAGTCTGGTGCTTGGTATAACGGTGATGAGCAGTTCACTCGTCCTTCCTGCTCCAAAGCGGAGAAGCCGAACTCACTTTGGCTCATGCAAAGTTCAGACCGGACTTGAGTTAAGCCGCGGAAGCAGCGATGATCGAACATAGCTAGCCAATTTCCATGTGTCGATCTGAATGGCTTTGCATTTTGAAACGGCAAAACCGCTCAAAAAGACTGACAGCCTGTGTTATTTGTCTAAATGTCAAGATATGCTCCTGAAGATATATCAGCAAATTAAAATCACTTTGTGGAAAAATCGATACCATTCAGTTTATTGTTTGAATCTGAAATTTCTAGCTTGTCTTGTGTGGCATCAGCTCGCAGAATTCGGAGATCCGATTCACAAGTTCTAACTTATAATTTTGCGTCAATTTTATGACACTTTTCTAAAATACCTAGGAAAGCACTCCGAAAGTTTTATCTGCAAATTGTTGGAAATTTGGTAATTGCCATATGTGCATGAAATTCTTTGATAGACATCATAATTCCTGCGCTGGAGTAAACGCCGATTTGTATAAACGTTATATAATAAAATATTGTGAAAATTTGACACAGTAAATGCTGAACAGAAAGGCTAACAGCGCCTAACAAAGCAGAGCGCAACCCAAAATATTCAACGTGAAAAGATATAGAAATGACAAAACGCACCTTGCTCCATAACAATTCCCAGAAAATTTAAGCCATAGAGCATACAATTCAGCCGTAAAGATTTCCACTAATACTTTTACAAATACTCCCGCCCATGTGGCAGTGTTTGCTTTTGCGCTCGCTGTCGCGTAGCTGTCTCATTGGTTATGCGCCGTCAGCCAAGACGAGGTCGGATTTAGGTATAGAGGGAAATCCAATCACGGGGAGGCGAAGGGGTGCCGAGCACAAATGCTCGAGATAAAATCATCCCCGGGGGAATAACGGATGGCAGGACGCGGGTAAGACAAATGAAACGTTGGGTCAGCAGATGCGTAGTAGGATCAAATTGAGACCCTGTAGGACAAGGGGTAGGAGCATGTCCCACGTTATCCCTTTAACAAATCCTGTTGACGAAAAGAGCTGATATTCGTTTCACATTCCATCACAGCCCGTAGCAAATGTCATTGCACCTAAAGTTACCAGGTGCTTGCAGCGGCGTAGCAATGTCGCTTGTCTCCCGGAGCGGACGTATACTTCCCGCCCGCTCTAGCGGTTTTAAATCCGTAACCCCTCATGATTTCGGACCGTACATAAATACTTTGTTTCATGTAACAACAAGCAAAGACCCAATTATACAGTGCTGCCGTAAATTAAGGCATCTTTAATATTTCAGTACTCGTGAACAAGACTTACAGATACACGTTTCGCGCATTACTTGAGGCAGTAACATTGATAACACTCTCTATTGTCAATTTCGCTCTCTATGTTGAGAAAGGCGACTCCGTGAGCCTTGCCTGCTTCAATGCCGATTAAAAGTAGTTCGTTGTGAGCGCACGTTTTGAGAAGGCGCTCTCACAGCTGGCTATGCTAATAGTTCGGGTAAGACATATGCGCAGCAGATT